ATCTTTTTAAATAAAATGCTTTCCCTCTTCCTGCCACACACAGATTCTCTAAAATGTAGAAAATGGTTAGATCTCAAAGCACTGCTCCCCCCCATCTTCAGTTGTAAGAAGTCTGAAAGTAATGTATTTTAAAGCCTTTAAATTAGGCTTTTTGTTTGTTTTCCTTAATCTACTTTCATCTTTCCACTTGTTTAAAGATTAGATATATACAATTGTATGCCCTTCAAGAAGAGGAGGAGGTCAAAAAAAAAAAAAAAAAAGGAAAGACAAAAACCCCAGTCATTTATGGACTCAATGGTCTCGTACTCCTAGGCATATCCCAGTATGGTGAATGAACATGCCTGGTAAAATTCCCAATCATTTATGGACTCAATGGTCTCGTACTCCTAGGCATATCCCAGTATGGTGAATGAACATGCCTGGTAAAATTACAGATTTGTAAGCAGGCAGGAGTTGCTTTGTCACAAATAAATATTTTTTGCTAGCTCATCTTGTATCTGTGCATCGCATTCGTTCCTTGTCTATCCAGTTGCTGTATACGAGTGACCAACAGGAAAAATTTCAGGGAAATACCAAAGGAAGGCAATCTCAAGTTAATAGCAACTGCCATTAAGCTGCCACATAAGTGAGAGTGCAGCCTATGAAATCCACTTCTGGAACCACTGCTCCTTCAGTAAACACTGACTAAACCACCTTGATAATAGGTTCTCCATCTGCAAAGCCCAGACACGTTGGAGTTTCACACCTCACATATATTCTTCCATATATTCTCTTCTCCATATTCCTGTTCTTCATATTCAGAAAGTTAGGGAGAAACCTCAACCACCTTTTAACACACTGGACTTTTGAAATATGAAACGTAGGACACCTAGATTTTATAATCAGATACAAGATAGGCCTGAAATGAAAATTACAGTTACTTTGGACTAGATTCCAGACAGACTTTCAAACTTTAAATCATAAGTTGCGTTCTAGTAAGACAGAAATTTAACAGCTGCCTGAGCCTAAGAGATGCCAAAGCTCATTATACACTTCTATAGTTTTGTTATTTAAATCTAAAGTTTCCCTAGCTGTTTGCAGATCTGCTTCTCATCACTGTTAACACAGACTCAAAACCAAACCAGCGAGACATGGCTTGCAGGCATCACTGACCTCACCAAGGTTCAGCACACAACACTGCAGCTCATTCGAGCACATGTGATTCAGGCTCCCCAGGTTTTACAGCACTGCTCAGTCACATGGACTCTCTGAAAACACTAGGAGTGGGTCTGAGAGCCTAATTTTCCCTCTCCTGCCTGAGGCCCAACACTCTACACAGGATGTCAAGGGCAGTCTTAAATTTTGCAATTCAGCTTCTCAGTGAAAGTTTTAACAAAAGCAATGGGAGAAATACTCCAGACTAGTTCCGTAAATCTCAGACCTGAGATGTCAATGATAAAATCTGAGTTGCAGGCTGAGGATCCATAGACTGCATTCCCTAGATGTTGCTAAGTGATGTTATAATCCCTTATATCTGCAGAAATGCTGGAAACGCAAAACAGAGCACAGATCCTTCATTAAAGAACAGCTGAAAGAACCTTCTATTTACAGAATGCTCTGGGTTTGGGGATCCCAGACATACACAGGTGTAAGAGAGCTCTGAGTACAGACAGCAGCATATGCTGTTTCCCATTAGCTAGCTCAATTTCAATCTTCAAGGTCCTAAAAAGGACTCACCCACACTCCTCCAAAGAAACAGACCACTACAGATAGCATTTATTTTAGTAGTTTGCCAGTGGTTTATGCAAGACAGAAGTAATTTGCAACTCTCAACACATCTTCAACATAGTAATCAACTGCATGATTGGATCAACAGATAATAAAACATGTAATTTAAAGTTAAAAGGGTGCTAAGCTAACTCAGCTGTTACCCAATAGAAATATAGGTCATCCCATTAACACAGAACAACCGAAACCAAAAAGAATACTATCTTGCAACTGATACAATTAGTGAAGTAGTGTGTTAAACCAGCATAGAGATGAGCTTTGCTTGTCAGTCAGTAACAGTGAGCTACACAGATTAAGAAAGAAGGGAGGCAAGTATCACAAGTATTAATACAACAGCAGTGTGATGCTGATGCATTGTGAACTGTCACACACTTAATATATGTATTTTACCTTGAAATAGATCAAATTTATGACTTGGAGGGGGAGTATGTAATAATTCAACCTTGACAAAATGCTACTGTAAAGATTTTTATTCTTGCCCATGCTACTTCCTATAAAACTGGTGTATTGTGAAATCTCAGCACCATGGTGTTAGCTAATATAGGAAGTTCTTCTGTATTTCTCCAACAAGTTAAAGGGATATCTTCTAGTTGGAAGAACCAGTTTCCCTCCAACTAACCTGTATCTCATTATCTCTGTAGTAGTGTCCCCAGTTTCCTTGCATGTTAGCAGAAGTGTGAATTAGTTTTGAGGGACCTCCTGAAATGGTTTGGTGATCTGAAAAAAACTTTTTTCCTCTATTAATCTCTCTTTGAAAACCAGAATATCTACACATCTACAGGTTATTCAAGAAGAATTCAAATCTGTTGGCACCTCTCACAAATGCTAAGCATTTATGAGCAGAAGTGTAAAACTACTCAACTGCTTAAATGGAAACCCACAGATTTAAGGTCAAGATTCCTGTTTCTCTCCTCCTTCCTCCCTAACAAAGATCAGAAATTGCAGTCTAAGAGACTGTTCAGCTGTTCAGCAGCTGGCTAGCATTACAGGTCCCTAAGCTTGCACGTTTCTTCCCATTTGACCCGGAAGATCCTGCAGTTCATACTTCCAATAGAAAGCTGGACAGGTACTACACATGGGAGCAAAAGAGCTAGAAAAGTGTACATAAGCCTTTACAGAGCTCAGTCAGGGAAACATGTTCAGGATGTCGATAGGATCCAGGTCCTCATAATATCTGACAGTGGACTGCGAGAGTAACTGAGTGGTTACAGTTCAGTCAGCTCTACAGAAGAGCAAGGGATAGAATTCAGCTGTGCTCCTACCACAACTAGAAAAGTGCTTGGCTGGAGCTTTTCAAGGCAAAGCTCTTCTTTCCGAAAACATGCAGCAATGGGGCTAAGAGACATTTGAACCTGAGTCTTGGAATGGCAAGAAGCACCTGTCCACTGCTCAGACTTTAGCAGCCCAAATTTCAAAATGCAAAAGACAGCAGGATTTCAGGTAACCCTTCTGGCATGTCTCCTGCTATCTAAGCCTGAGCAGCTTGCTTTGAGTACACCTGTTTGTCACACAGGAAGGAGAGACACAGCAGAAGGAAGAGAAGAAATGCAAGAGGAAGGATGAGATTACGGAATCACTGAGCTCAGCACAAAATGGTTAATTATGTTCAGCAACTGTCTTCACAATGCTCCAGTTTCAACCACTGATTTGACTTTATGTTTTCACACGACAAACAAAGCTTCATTTTTACATCTTGGAGCCTCAGTGTCTGTCACAGGCTGGCAGTTGCCTCTGGAAGTATGTAAGTATTGAAAGGGGGCATGGCAAGAAGAAGAAGCCAGGCTCTTCACAGTGGTGCAAACCAATAAAATGAGGTAATGGGCAGAAACTGATGCACAGCAAGTTCCACGTGAATCCAAGGAAGAACTTCTTTACTGTGTGAGTCACTGAGCACTGGAACAGATTGCCCAGAGAGGTCATGGATTCTCCCTCACTGGAGGTATGCAAGAACCATCTGGATGCAATCCTGAGCCATGTGCTCTAGGATGGCCCCACTTGGGTAATCTCTTCCAACCTGACCCGTTCTGTGATTCAATGCAGACCAAGTTAGGAGTCATAAGACTAAATGAGCAGATTTTAGGAAATAAAGCGTAAGGACTTTTACAGAACCAACTTGTTTATTTTAGGTTGGGGAAATGCAACCCTGATGTACAGTAACTTTTCAATAAAGCAAAATTGCAATCCTTGTTCCCGTCTGTTGAGATCTTAAGAAATTCTTTCTGGAAGAAGATGCAAAACGTAGTTGAAAAACCAGGCAAAACCCCAATCTATATCACTAACCTGTGCTACAAATACCAACTCCTAGAACCTGACTTGAAAAACAGAAGTCAAATAAAAACTGACATATGTAACTGATCAGAATTAATTTGAAGTTTAAATATTAAAACACTCTTTGCTGCATGCACCCTGCATCCTGCACAACATTAAAAACGCATACCAACGCGAGCCACATGCTGCTCATGGCTACCTCCCTTCTGATTAACAGTATATAGAATCAGACAATCATAGAATTTAAGGGCTGGAATGGACCTTACAGATCATCTAGTCCCAACCCTCCCTGAAATGGGCAGGGACACCTCCTCACTAGACCAAGTTGCTCAAGGCCTCATCCAGCCTGGTCTTGAACACCACCAGGGTCGGGGCAGCCACCACAT